GCAGAAACAGAACTTCAAGAAGTCACACACACACACACACACACACACACACACACACAAATGTCAATAAGGAGCAACAATCAGAGGGGAAGATGAGAGGCGTTGCCCCAGGAAAGAGGATGTCTGATCTGTAAGAAGAACGTTGAAGTCACCCAGAAATGGAAATGGTGGCAGTACCAGTGAGCCTCAGCCTCCTCAGAAGAAAAGGGCCAGAGTAGATCCTGCTGCTGGAAACATGAACAGAGTTGAAGTTAAAGATTTTTTTTTAATGATTTTATTTATTTATTTGACAAACACAGCAAGAGAGGGAACACAAGCAAGGGGAGTGAGAGAGGGAGAAGCAGGCTTCCCGCGGAGCAGGGAACCCGATGCGGGGCTCCATCCCAGGACCCTGGGATCATGACCTGAGCCAAAGGCAGACACTTAACGACTGAGCCACCCAGGCGCCCTGAAGTTAAAGATTTCTGAAGAACTAAAATCATGGATTGTTGGGGTGCCTGGGTGGCTCGGTAGGTTAAGCGTCTGCCTTCAGCTCAGGTCATGATCTCAGGGTCCTGGGATTGAGCCCTGCATTGGACTCTCTGCTCAACAGCTGAGTCTGCGTCTCCCTCTCCCTCTGTGATCTCTCTTGCTCTCACTCACTCAAATAAAAATCTTTCATAAAAAAATTTTTTAATTAAAAAAAAACCATGGATTGTTAATGACTGAGGCGTAATTACCAGGCAAAAACAGTTCTATCTTCCTGTCAAGAAGAATATGGATTCCACTGTAAAGGATTATGCAAATTATAAGAAATCTTGAGGAAACACAGAAAATAAGGACTATACTGTTAATGAGGTTGTGGCAGGAATTTTAAAAAATTGGAATGTAATGTTGGGCGCTCAGCTACTCTACAAATTTGAAAGACCCCAGTGTGTGAATTCCTCAAAGGTTGCCCTGAATCACCTTTGTCCCATTTATATGGAGTGCCACATTGAGAACTGGAGCAGTGTTGATCTATACACTCTAAAAGAAGAGATTCTTAATGACTGAATGATCTTCACAATTTCCTGGCAAAGAATTCTGCAACTTTTAGTGCCAGCAATTATGAAGTGGCTCCTAAGAGAAGGTATAATTGATAGTAAATTAAATGCACAGACCTTAAGAGACAGTTGAGTTTGTTAATGGCATACACCCGTGTAACCACCAGCCCAAGCAAGAAGAGGACATTTACCTCATCCCTGAAACTTCCCTTGCATTCCTTTCCAGTTGATCCAGCAATCTGCCAAAACCCCTTCCCCGAACAGTGGCAGCCTCTAATATGATTTTTTCTTAAATGATTTATAGTCACCATAACTTATTTTCACTATTATGGAACTTCACATACACTGTGTACTCTTGCATATCTCGCTTCTTTAGATCAACATAAAAGTTTTGAAACCTCACACTGGCACATATCAAAGGTTGTATCTTTTTATTTCTGAGTAGTAGTACACTGTATGAATATACCAGAATTAATTTTTTTCATTCTCCTATTGATGCACATGTGGATTGTTTCCAGTTTTTGGCTATTATAGATGAAGGTACTGTGAACATTCCTGCACAAGTCTTTTGCGGACATATGTTTTAATTTCCTTTGGGCAAATAAATGCTTAGGGGAAATTACTGAGTGTTTAACATCCAAAGAAACTACCAGTTTTCTAAAATAGATATACCAAATTATATTCCTATTGTTAGTATATGAAGGTTCCAAAGGCTCCCTATCATCACCAACATTTAGCATTTTTTACCTTTTTAAATTTAGCCATTCTCTTAGATATACAGTGTTTTCTCATGAATTTAATTTGCATTCATCTGAGGATGAATGACATTGAGGAGCTTTCTCATGTTTTTAGTGACTATTGAGTTTATGTACCACAAATATTTTTTTTTAAGTTTCATTTATTTAAGTAATTTCTACACCCAGTGTGGGGCTTGAACTCACAACTCCAAGATTAAGAGTCACATGCCCTTCCGACTGAGTCAGCGAGGCACCCCTACAAATATAAATAAATAAATAAATAAATAAATAAATAAATAAATTGCAGACTATGACTTGTCTTTTTATTTTTTTCACTGCCTTTTGAAAGGCAAAAGCTTGTAATTTTGTTGAAGTTCACTTTATCATTTTTTTATGATTAATGTTTTTTGTGTCCTGAAATGTCTGCCTACCTCAGAGTCAGAGATAGCTTTCTGTATTTTCTTTTAGAAGTATTAGAGTTTTCACTTCTCTGTTTAATGTTAAGATCCATTTAGAATTTTGTGTGTGTGGTATAAGCTAAGGGTCAAAGTTCTTTTTCTCTTTTTTTTTTACATCGTGAACTGGTTGTTTAACACCATTTGTTGAACAGACTTTCCTCTTCCCGTTGAATTGCAGTGATATCAATGCTAGGTTTCTAAAATGTTAAATTCAGGGGCACCTGGGTGGCTCAGTCGTTAAGCGTCTGCCTTTGGGATCAAGTCCTGAGCCCGCATCAGGCACCCTGCTCGGCGGGAAGCCTGCTTCTTCCTCTCCCACTCCCCTTGCTTGTGTTCCCTCTCTCGCTGTGTCTCTCTGTCAAATAAATAAAATCTTTAAAATAAATAAATAAGGGGCGCCTGGGTGGCTCAGTCATTGGGCATCTGCCTTTGGCTCTGGTCATGATCCCAGGGTCCTGGGATGGAGGCCCACTTCAGGCTCCCTGCTTGGCGGGGAGGCCTGCTTCTCCCTCTCCCACTCCCCCTGCTTGTGTTCCCTCTCTCGCTGTCTCTCTCTCTGTCAAATAAATAAATTTTTTAAAAAATCTTTAAAAAAATAAAATGTTAAATTCACTTCCTCAGTTGCACTAGCCACGTTTGAAGTACTCAAGAGCTACCTGTGGCTTGCGGCTACCTTATCAGTCAGCACAGAGAAAATGTTCGCAGCATCACAAAGTTCTGTAGCCGCACAGCTCTTGACCTTAGGGCACAGTGCCTGCTAAATACTTTGGATTGCGTAAAAAGGTAATCTAAACCAACTAACAAAGGGCAGATATCAGGAAGTTAAAAATTAATCACTGAACTGATATGCATTACCTAAATTGGTCAAATTCAGAGACAGAAAGTAGAATGGTGGTTAGTAGGGGGTTGGGGGAAAGGGGAAAGGAGAGTTATTGTGAATGGGTACAAAGCTTCAGTTCTGCAAGATGAAGAGCTCTGGAGATGGGTGGTGGTGATGGTTGCAAAACCAGTGAATGTAGTTAATGCCAGATAAATGTACTCTTAAAGAATTGTTCAAAATGGTAACTACTGTATATTTTACCAATATAAAAAAAATTGTAATTGCTTTTTCCCTAGCTGTTTTAGTGCAGGTGACAAAGCAATCAGTGTTACTAATGACCTAGTAATTATCTTAAGTGTATCTAAGGGGTACCCAACAACCCTACAGAGGAGATACTAGAGCCCAATATGTCTCTTAATGTCTTAATGTCTCTATCCTGGAGTATTCCCAATAGAAACTCTTCAGCTAATAGGACAAGAGAGCAAAACAATTTGAGTTATCCTCCTGCCATGTGTTATCCACCCATCAATGTAATAACAAAGATTTCATTAAGCTATGGTAACGCATGACAAGCTAGTGGCAAGAGCAACCTGCTTTTTTAAGTAAAAGTTCCCTTTTTTAAAAACGACACAAGAGGCGCCTGGGTGGCTCAGTTGGTTAAGCGACTGCCTTCAGCTCAGGTCATGATCCTGGAGTCCCGGGATTGAGTCTCGCATCAGGCTCCCTGCTTGGCAGGGAGTCTGATTCTCCCTCTGACCCTTCCCCTTCTCATGTGCTCTTTCTCTCTCTTCTCTCTCTCAAATAAATAAATAAAATCTTTAAAAATAAAAAAAATAAAAAACGACACAAAACCCAATCTCTAAGCACTTGATTTTGATGATTTAACTAAGAATATTGATCAATACATATATAAACAGTTTTGTAAAGCATAGGTTGAACTATATTAATTCAAAATATTAGGGCATGCATGAATACGGAGCTTTGAGGATCTTGTGCTTTTGTACAAGGTCTGTGTTTAAATGTTTTTAATTTAAATTTTTAATTTAAATGTTTTTAATTTAAAACTCCCGTTTAAACTCCTTGATAAAGACAACTCTATAATCTTCGACTGATTTGTGGAAAGGAAGTCAAATGAGCAGTGTTAGATGACACAAAAACACTCATATTAAGTGCTTATGAAAATAATCTTGCTCCCCTGGAGGAAGTATTGATTTGGTGAGACGTGAAGACCCACCTGTGTAATATGCCTGATATGCTTTTTGGAGGCCACCTATAAATGCTGTTCTCTAGGACCTCATCTCTGTCTAAGATATCCCAATGAACTTATGGATATCGTTTAGTATTGAAAATATTGTAATAACCTTCAGAACCCTTCAAAAGAAGCAACATTAAAAACTAAGTTTTTTTGCGGAAATTGCTCATGGTTTCACATATTGTAGGTACCTCATTTTTTTTAAATAAATTCCCCTCTTCCCCCCCCAAAAACCTAACAAAGATTGAATCTTTATATTCTAGGCCCGGTGTAAGCATGTAATTATTCTAACCAACAAATATTTATTGAAGCACCCTGTGTCCTATGCAATTTATCTCATTCCACTCTCACACAATCCCATGAAAACTATTATCCCCACTTCACAAAGAGTGATAAGTTCTCAAAGAGATGTCACACAATTAACGAATACTAAAACGGAGATTTTATCCTGGAACATCAAAGCCAATCCTCCAAACCAACAAATCCAGGAGAACTAACAATTTCAAATTCTGTTAGCTAAAACAGTCCTCCCCAAGAAACCTCGCGATATTACTCAAACTACCACTCCCAACATGCACAGCGGCCTGGGTCCGTCCGCTTATCCCCTTGAGTCTGGAGGGTCCCGGCATGCCTCGAGGCGCGAAAGGCAGTCTGGGAGCCGTAGTGCTCTTGGACGCCTACCGGTCTTGCCAGCGCGGCAGTGGCGGCTCTCTTGGTTCCGTCCAGCGGGTGCTGTAAACGAGCTGAGGCGGAGAAAGGGCGCGGAACTGGAAGAGGGTGAGTCAGGCACTGTCTACGCGATAAAGGGAGGCGGCACCGCGGCGCAGGGCTGAGTTGAGTAAGTGCGGCCCCTGCAGTCTATTCAGGGACGCCGCGATCTAGCGCCCGCGAGAAGAGGGCGAGGAGGAGCCAGAGCCCGGTCCTTGCACCCATTCTCGCCCTCGTACCCCGCCGCCATCTCCACCATGCAGTCCCGGGAAGAAGCTCCGCGCTCTCGCCGCCTGGCCAGTCCCCGCGGCGGGAGGCGACCCAAGAGAATTTCCAAGCCTTCTGTTTCAGCTTTTTTCACGGGCCCGGAGGAGCTGAAGGACACGGCTCATTCTGCAGCCCTCCTGGCACAGCTGAAGTCCTTCTACGACGCGCGGCTGTTATGTGATGTGACCATCGAGGTGGTGACGCCTGGTAGCGGCCCTGGCACCGGCCGCCTTTTTTCCTGCAACCGGAACGTGCTGGCTGCTGCGTGTCCCTACTTCAAGAGCATGTTCACTGGTGGCATGTACGAGAGCCAGCAGGCGAGTGTGACCATGCATGATGTGGATGCCGAATCCTTCGAGGTGCTGGTCGACTACTGCTACACTGGTCGCGTGTCGCTAAGTGAGGCCAACGTGCAACGCCTTTATGCGGCCTCTGACATGTTACAGCTCGAGTACGTACGGGAAGCCTGTGCCTCCTTCCTAGCCCGCCGCCTTGACCTGGCCAACTGCACCGCCATCCTCAAGTTTGCCGACGCCTTTGACCATCACAAGCTGCGATCACAGGCCCAGTCCTTTATAGCCCACAATTTTAAGCAGCTCAGCCGAATGGGTTCAGTAAGGGAGGAGAGTCTGGCAGATCTGAGCTTGGCCCAGCTGCAGGCTGTCCTGCGTCTGGATAGTCTAGATATCGAGAGTGAGCGGACCGTGTGTCATGTGGCGGTGCAGTGGTTGGAGGCGGCTCCCAAGGAGCGGGGCCCCAGCGCTGCGGAAGTCTTCAAGTGTGTCCGCTGGACGCACTTCAGAGATGAAGATCAGGATTACCTGGAAGGGCTGTTAACTAAGCCCATTGTCAAGAAGTACTGTCTGGACCTTATTGAAGGGGCCCTGCAGATGCGATATGGTGACAAGTTGTGCAAGTCGCTGGTGCCGAAGCCAGATAGCAGCAACAGCTCTGTTGTACCCACAGCAGAAAATCCCCCCCAGAGACTGGGTATGTGTGCCAAGGAGATGGTGATCTTCTTTGGACATCCTAGAGATCCCTTTCTCTGCTATGACCCATACTCAGGGGACATTTACACAATGCCATCCCCTTTAACCAGCTTGGCTCACACTAAGACTATCACCTCCTCAGCTGTCTGTGTCTCTCCAGACCACGACATCTACCTGGCCGCTCAGCCCAGGAAGGACCTGTGGGTGTACAAGCCAGCCCAGAACAGCTGGCAGCAGCTTGCCGACCGCCTGCTGTGTCGGGAGGGCATGGACGTGGCCTACCTCAATGGCTACATCTACATTTTGGGTGGGCGAGACCCGATTACTGGAGTTAAACTGAAGGAAGTAGAATGCTACAGTGTTCAGAGGAACCAGTGGGCATTTGTGGCTCCTGTACCCCATTCCTTCTATTCCTTTGAACTAATAGTGGTTCAAAACTATCTTTATGCTGTGAACAGTAAGCGCATGCTCTACTATGATCCTAGCCACAATACGTGGCTGAACTGTGCTTCTCTTAAACGTAGTGACTTTCAGGAAGCCTGTGTCTTCAATGATGAGATCTATTGTATCTGTGACATCCCAGTCATGAAGGTCTATAACCCAGCCAGGGGAGAATGGAGGCGGATTAGTAATATTCCCTTGGACTCAGAGACCCACAACTACCAGATTGTCAATCATGGCCAAAAGTTGCTTCTCATCACTTCTACCACCCCTCAATGGAAAAAAAACCGGGTGACTGTTTATGAATACGATACTAGGGAAGACCAGTGGATTAATATAGGGACCATGCTAGGCCTTTTGCAGTTTGACTCTGGCTTTATTTGCCTCTGTGCTCGTGTGTATCCTTCCTGCCTGGAACCTGGACAGAGTTTCATCACTGAGGAAGATGATGCACGGAGTGAGTCTAGTACTGAATGGGACTTAGATGGATTCAGTGAGCTGGACTCAGAGTCAGGAAGTTCAAGTTCTTTTTCTGATGATGAAGTCTGGGTGCAGGTAGCACCTCAGCGAAATGCACAGGATCAGCAGGGTTCTTTGTAAATATTTTGAAGCACTAAAATGTTTCTACTGCTATGGAATGTATCTTTAAAAGATTTCCTTTTCTTGAAAAAAAAAGTGTTGATTAGGACTGCAGATTTGGTTTAGAAAGGGTAATGTTTGAATTACTAATGTAATGTTACAAAATTTAAACAGTCCATGAAGTCAACCTATATAATAATTTACTGTGCTAAAAATCGAGATTAAAATATGCAAAAATGAACTATATAATTGATTAGAATGCTTGGTGGTTTTTTTCATTGTTCAAGTATTTGTTGCACCAATGGATTGTTTTGGTTAGTTATACTCTTTATATTTTGATTATCTACTTTAGTCTTCTTTTAACTTTTTAATTCTATTTAGTGCCACAAAGAATTTAACTTTTTCAATTTTTAAAAGTAGAAAATTGGATTAGAAATTGGTAGGGTTTTGAAGGTTTATCTTTTCCTTCAGAATAATGAAAGTAGTAGATTTCCCAAATTTTGAGCTAGCCAGTTTTTAGTATTATAAGTTAGTATAGTTTGTTAAATTTGGTTTGGTTTTCGCCCCTTCTGCAAAGAAAAAAATTTGGATATATATATGTAAATATATATATGTGTGTTATAAAATGGGATTTCATTTTGATAATGTGCAGAATGGTCTTAAGAGCTCACAGAAAGTAAAAAAAAAAATCAGGATTCCACTGCTTTAAAAGAAATTTCACTTTTAATTTTGGAATATAACATGTAGTTGCTAAATGTGACCATTTTTCTATTTTAAAAAACATCCATTCCAATAGTGTCACCAATTATTTAAACACCCTTCTAAACCAGAAAGAAAAAAGTAACTTGCTTTGTAAGATCATACATTTCATCTATACCTGATACATGCTTCATCGAATCAAAGGAACAATCCCTTTTTTCACTGGACATATGATTGAGTAATGTAAATTTTAATCTATTGGTCATACCTAGTCTTAAAAAGTTTATATGCTTCCCTAAAATATTTTGGCTGTATAGTTTTGGTGTTCATCTTAGAGGATGCTTCAGCAGGAAGTGATTTATTCTTTACCGTTTTTATGAGGTGATACTGGTTTTGAAAATACATTTAAGCTAAAAAGGGTATTTCATTGAGATCAGTAGTTACTGCATCTACCAACTATAAAATCAAGTGCCAGCAGAGAACTTTAAAACTTCAAACTGTGTATGGAACTGTTTTGTGTAGCATTGAAATGTTCTGTCAAGTTTTGTAAGTCACTGTATATGATTATCATCTCAAAGTTATTTTTGTATTAAAAGTTGACAGTTAAAGAACATAAGTGGATGATGGCATTTGGGGCTAATAGTGAACATATGTTTCCTCTAAAATATTTCCCTAGCAATGGTATACATGGTTATTTTATTAGGGTATTTGTATCTGTTCTGTATTTCTCTGTGAACCATGCTCCAGTCTTTGTTTTTTGTCTTTTTGTTTTTGTGTCACCATAAAGTAAGGGAAAGTCCAGAACTAGAGACTAAATCACACAAAATTGATATTGTTAAATACAGAGAAATAGAGGTGCTTACCTTTTGAGGGTCTGTGAGTACATAGGACTGCCACAACACATATCCCTGATAAGTGATGTACATATAAGATGCTTATAGTCTATAAATTTTTCTATACTGACTTAGATCCTCTTTTTGCATCTTTGTTCAAAATGTTAATTCCTCTTACATGTTTATTCTCTAGTGACCGAATGCTAACATTGCTTACACCACATCAGAGTACTGAGGAGTGTGCCCCAGGATAGGGAACTGAATTTTGAATGAAAAAAAGAGGGAGAGAGAAAAGGATTAAAAAAAACCAAGCACACAAATGTTTTCTTAGCCATTTTGATTGGGCATCTGAAGAGTTCATAAGACATTCCTGTTTAACATTATTTCTAGTGAAATAAGATTCTTGCTCTAGCAGTGTGTTCTTAAGACTGTGTTCTCTCAAAACAGCAAACATGCTTTAGTGGCCTAAGGCTAACTTTTGTTCCATTTGGTATCAGGATGTTAAAAGCACTGGTTTCAACTTAGAAAGATATTTATTAGGAGTGTTATATTTTGGCCAGCTTTTCTTCACCGGTAGCTTCTTGTTGATAGCTTTTTGTTTTGTAAGGTTGAAATAGGACAGTGCCGATCTCAATCAGATTATCCATCTGCAGAATTAAAGTATGCAACTGATTGATAAAAGACAAATTCTGCAATTTATCATTTTCATCGTTTGAGTTAAGTATAAGCTAATTAACAGTAATGTGGTTTAAAAAGTAGTTTTTTGGGGAAGACTTTGGCTTCATGATATATCTGTGAATTAGGGGATAGATGTTAACCATTATTTCATAGATAAGTGATTTGTATATGGTTAGTTACAAATAAAAATGGCACTGGAACCCAGACCTTCTGACCTCTTAATTAGTGTTCCTGCTAAATGTATAAAACCCTTGCTTGTACAGTGAGTGACACAACCAGCAGTGGTGAAATCCCTTCTTGACAGGAAAGCAGCTTTGTCTCAGTTTTACAATTACACCTGTTAGCAAATGCTCAATATAATATTGTTTGCAAAGCTATTCTGTGTAGGATTTAGAAAGATCTTAATTGGTTTTTTTGTATGTTTATGCCTATAGTCTGAAAAACTCAGAGAACCCAAATTATTTTAAATACTTACACAGTTCAAATGATGTCATTGGCATTTTCAGAAAGATAAAAAACTAAGTTAGCAAATAACTTGTTTAATTGGGTTTAGGATTAAATTTAAATTATACTTCCCTTCTGTTGTTGCAATGTTTTTTCTGTTTTGTACCTGGATCTTACTGAGAATCTGATGAAAGCTTTTGACTTACTCCACTTGAAGATGGTCACTTGTATATGTTCATGTTTTTATAATTTCAAGGGTGTTATGACACTTCTGAAGATCTTCCCCTCACCCAGGATAAGAACACTTGTGACAGAGTCCCAAGAACACTTCTACAAAAAAGAATTCACCTTTTTTCACAAGGCATATTGCTCAAATGTTTGTAAGAGGGAGAAGAGCATTATTACGTCATTCCTAAAATAGAGCTAAAGAAATTATATACATTTACCATCTGAAAGGGATGTGAATATGAAGGGGTACCTCAGAACTGAGACAGAGTTGACATTTCTGCAGTTCAAATTTCTCCATGATCGATTAACACAAGAATAGTTAAATAACTAAATTTGATTTAAAGAAATAAACAAAAGAAATTAATCAAATGAGCTAATCTATTTGAAAGCTTTGACTTGAAGAGTTATGCATATATGTTATGTATATGATTACTGTCTAGGAAGATTGTATAATGAGAATTCAAAGCAAAATATAGGTTCTGGATGTGTCAAACTGCCAACATCGCAGCTGTTTATTAGACATACACCTAAGTGGCAAGAGTTCTTTATCTCATAATGACCAGGTTAACAGGTGGTTGGAAAAGGACATTTAACCATAAGGACTCTATTTAAAATATAATCAGTTTGCTGCTCGCTGCTCATTAAACTAGGAACCAGTGCTTTGCCTGACGTCATTTTGTCAATTTGCTGATATAAGGAAAATAGATAAAGCATGACAAATGAGTCGTAAACTAAAATTATTTAATTGAATTTGTTTTAACGTTCATAAGTTGGAAATATAAAAAATTTGCATCTCTATATCAGTCCACTAAATTTTAAAAGAAAGTTTGTCTTTGAAATCCTGAAGTGTGGTAACCAGAATGTAGACATCCCTAGTCTGCTTACATTTGAACTGTTGGAATGATTTTATGTTGTATGCTTCTTAGGTGTTTTACTTTGCCTCTGTCCTCTCATCAGATCTCACCCACATCTTAAACACCTTTTCATCATTACAACTAATTTTAAAAGAATATTCATTATAGCAAATATGATAAAGCAGGGAAGTATTAGGCAAAATTATTCCTAGAAAATGTGAGTAGCAATCCTAAGAGAATTGATAAGCTATTTTTAGAACCATCAAGATGGTTAAATATATACAAACCAGTTTTTTGTTTTGGGTTTTTTTTTTTAATTTATTTAACGAAGAAATAAAAATAGTATTCACAGAAGCTGCCAAGTCTTAGAGTACCAGATAGGCAACAGAGTTTGCACCCTTTCCCTAACTCTGGGCCATTCTGTCACCCATATCTATTCCATCAGCTGCAGTTCCTTGCTTCTTTAACCTTAATGGCCTAACCATGGTCTAAGACATAGGGAGAGTGAGGGACAGACATTGTTGCATACCATTTCCCCCATTTTGGGACATATTTCCCCTAACCATTCCTACTCTGGACAGCCACCTCTCCAATGGAACCAACCTTTTAGAGTCTCACCCCCAGAGCAATTATAGCTGCTTGAAACCACCATATATTGGGAATATTGGGGGTTGGGGAGAATACTATTCCTTAATTCTGGGGTAATTAGCAAAGAGCAATGGCCCTCACTTCAAGGCACAGTCTGGTCAGAGTCTCCATGTCCTTATGGCTTTCTTTGTGTAGAGAAGATATCAGGGGGTGATGTTTTCCTCTCATCTTATATATTAGTTATGATCTGTGGTTGTATGTATGTGGAGACCCTATAGTTGTTTTAATAAGATAGAAGATTCTCATATAAATCCTACAATCTGTTATGTCTCCCCTCATCTAGAAAGTCACCTGAGAACAGGCTTTCTGCTTTCCCATTCTGCTATCCCTGGAGTGTTCTGGTCCACATGGTCCAAGTGAGTTCACACTCATGTCCATGACTATATAAGGAAGGAAGGGGAAGAAGCTATAAGGAAGAGGAGAGGAAGTAGACATGACCCTTCCCTGTAAGGGAAAGTGTGTACATCACTTCCAGGCACATGACACTGGCCGGGTCTTAACCACGTAGCCACACCTAACTGCAAGAGTGCCTGAGAGAGGTAGTCTTATTCTGGGTCAACATATATCAAGTTAAACTTTACAGGTTCCTTCTTGTAGAATGCTGAGGAAAGATATTGTATAAGTAGCAATCTCTACTATATCATCAGTCAAGCTATGTTTTATGACATGGCAGCCAAAATGATTACCAGGACACCCAAGACCCACATCCTACCAGGTTGGAAACCCCAGTGGAAAAAGGCAGTATTTTCTGATATCTCTGGTAGATAATTCCTAGAGGACCTGGGACTCTGGGTATCCACTTGTAGATGGTCACTTGTAATTGATAAAGTTGGGGGATGGGAATGTTGAGGAAGACAGATAA